CAGCTCTCAGAGCTCATCTGTTCAAGATGAAACTTGCAGAACAAGAAGACTGCAGACTGTGCGGAGGCGATAAGGAGGGCGTCATCCACATTTTATGTGAATGCCCCCTATTAGCACTCCGTCGCTATAAAATCTGGGGCCAGGCTTTCCTGAAACCAGAGGACTTACAACAAGCGGCTGTCACCAGCCTTATTAGCCTAGTGAGAAACACAGGGCTGGGGCTGTGTGACTGACCGAAACTAAGGCGGAAGTTACAAAAGATCGTATGATTTAGGTGACTCTGGGCGCTTTAAGTGACCAGCCGCACTTTTTTTTTATTCTATTATTCTATTATCTCCGAGCCATTTAGCTTCAGAAGTTGGATCTTTTGCAGTTTATAATTTCTTGTGAAAACCAGGACTGTTGTCTTGTCTGGATTTACCGATAGGCCAGTTTCGCTGCACCAGTCCTCAATAATATTGAAGGCTGTTGCCATCAGGTCCCTTAGCACCTTCAAAAATCTGCCTCTCACAACAACTCCACATCATCGCCGAAACCGGTGATGTGGAAGCCGGCCTCACTTAGTTGATTTAGAAGTCCATCTACAACCAGGTTCCATAGCAGGGGCGAGAGAACTCCCCCCTGCGGACAGCCCCTAGTTGGACGTCACTCCACACATGCCCTCCCATGTCCTGCCGACAGTCCAGCAGTTTTGCCTTTCAGCATGTTTTGTGTCCAAGCAATGATAGTCTTGGACCGCTGTCGTTCTTCCATGGCTTTCTCTATAGCCGGATTCGAAGTACTATCAAAAGCCCCCTCAATATCCAGAAAGGCGCCTATGGCAAAACCCTTGACCGCCAGTTGTCCCTCAATCAGTCCCACCAGGTGATGTAAGGCGGTATCTGTTGATCTTCCCTCCCTGTATGCATATTGACAGGGGGAGAGGGGTCTGTCAGCCAAGGGCCCGGCCTTGATGTGTCTATCCACCAGCCTCTCCAGGGTCTTCAGGATGAAGGATGTGAGGCTTATAGGACGGAAGTCTTTTGGTTTTATATAACCGGTTTTTCCAGGCTTGGGAATGAATACCATCCTAGTCTCATTCCACACACTAGGGACATGTTTCAGGGCTATACTAGCTCTGAGTATCTTGGTTAGGGGTCCCGTGATAGTCTCTATCCCTTCCTGTAATAGGGCTGGGTAGATCCCGTCTGGTCCCGGTGCCTTGAAGGGTTCAAAGGTTTTGATGGCCCACTTGACCCCCCAGGGCTGCACTACTTTATTTGCCAATGCCCAATCATGGGTTTCGTAGACATCCCTCTGATTTTGCATTGTTTCTTTATCTCTCTCCTGGGCCTGTATGAAGCCTGGAAAGTGGGTGTTCATTAGGAGTTTCAGAGTCTCTCCCATGGTTTCCGTGTGGCTGCCATCTGGTGCCTGTAGGCTCCCTAGATATGGAGTCTTGTTTGTTCCAAGGATTTTTGCCAGCCTAGAGGTCTCCGATTGACTCTCCACATTGCTTGTGAAAGCCCTCCAGCAGTCCTCTTTGGCTGCCTTTATTGCCTTGTTGTAATCTGCGAGCAAGCCTCTGTAAGTTTTCCATGCGTCTTCCTTACGGGGGCCCGCTCTCATGTTCTTAGCTTTGTTAAAAGCTTTTCTAGCTTTGCCCCTCAGCCCACCGAGCCTCTCTGACCACCAAGGAGTCTCAGTGGGCTGCCCTTTCGGGATAAGCTTGCAGTTTGTCTCGAAGGAGTCCATGATGGCCTGGTTTAGGGCAATCGAAGCCTCCTCCAGCTGCTTTTTGTTGTTAAATCTGAGGATGATATCCCTGAGATTGTCAGATAGACTCTCTCGGTAATTTCCCCAGTTTGTTCGTCTTGGGTTTCTCACCCATTCCGTTTCTTTCACTGTGTGGATGGACATTCTTATGGTTTGATGATCGGACGCTGAGAGGTCCTTTGAGACCCTCCAGTCCCCAATCATGTCTGCCACTCTATCCGTCCCCAGAGTGATATCTATGACCTCCTGTCGTCTCCGATCTATGAAGGTAGGTTCTGACCCCCTATTAAGGATGTTTAGACCGGCCCCCATTATGAATTCCTGGAGGCTTTCCCCCCTGCCGTTAATGCCGGTGCTCCCCCATGCTACATGGTGCGAGTTGGCATCACAACCTAGCAGGAGTTCAAGTCCCCTTTCCTTCACATGGTTGCATAGGTCCTTTACTTTTTTCGAAGGAGGTGGTTCAGCCGAGTCATAGGGCATGTAAACTGACCCTACAACCAGGCTCATTTCCTCGCCTTGTCCCAGGCCCAGATCCACTTGTGCCACAGCCAGGTCTCCCTCACTAGCCTGTGAACAGAAGAAAGAGTCTAGTCCTTTAATAACAATGCAAGATCTAATTTTCTCCTGAGTGTTTGCGTGATAGATTCTGCCACAACCACTGAGGCCCTTAATAGCATTGTCCACTATCCATGGTTCCTGGATCATTGCTATGACAGTCTGCATCCCAGCTAACAGCCTGACTAGAGTAGCCGAGGCTGCTTTGCTGTGGTGCAAATTTATCTGTACAATGTGCACCCGGGTTGCAGCCATAATGATGACTACTTTCCTGGTACCTCTATGTACCCTTCTTCTGACTTTCACCACGGTCTTTCGCAAGCAGCTTGACAGTAGCTTTTTGAATCCCGCAGTGCAGTCTGAAGTTGCAGGCTTTCAGAACAGAGAGTGATCGGTCGTCTATCAGCGCAACGAAGTGGGCACTTTTCGCGTCCCTACTCTCACTGCCCCGAGCGACAACCCACTCTCTGGCCTGCAGTCCTGCATTTTGTTTCTCAAGGAAGCACAGTGCTTCTTGAGCGGTTAGATCTGGGTCTTCCACGTGTAGTACAACCCTGTGCTTCTTGGGAAGCTCCGAGGCTGCGACCACACGTACAGTAAGCCCAGCTATTTTGTTTTCGGGAAAAAGGCTTTGCAGCCAATTTCCCATTTCCTCATCAGTGCAGTACACCATTGCCACACTTTCTCTTTCCCAGACACCGTTGAAAGTGGGTGCTTTCACCCCGTCAGGTAACGCCAGAATGGCCCTCTTCAGGAGTTTCTTCACCTCCGTTACCTC